ACTGTTCAAAAACAGAATGAGAATTACTATGTGTGTGGGAAGGAGAACAATATAATAAATCAGAAATAGGATATTCTTGTAAATTCAAATGTGAACGAGTGTTATTGTTCATCAAGAACACATTCCCAAAAGCAGGGCAGTTCTCTTAATTAACTAAACATTCATTGACAGAGACAATCCTTAAGAAAGGATGTTTCCAGAATTATTTCAAGTAGATGTAAAATCACGGGACCAATTTCTTAAATAATAAGAAAAACACCGCTGTCACCACTTGTTAGATTTTGTTTTGCCCTTGGAGTTCGATTCAACAATATGTTGACCTTTCTAAGTTTATTAAGAAATAAAAATGTCCCTCGTACAATAGTTGTGCACGCACATATATAATATGAAGAAAGAAGAGGAGAAGAAAGATCACAAACAAAAGTAACATGAAAGAAAAACATAGAGAAAGATGTCGTTCCTAACAGTAGTCAAATTTCAGATTCAGTTACAGCTATTAACTATAATGATTTGAAGATTAATCCAAATGAGGAATTAGGCCGAGATGCATTTGGCATTGTATATAAAGCGATATGGAATAAACAAGTTGCATCCGTAAAACACTTACATTTAAATAAGTTGACTAGACAAGAGAAGAACTCATTTGTGAAAGAAATTCGAATAATGTCAACTTTGAGCGAACATCCAAATTTAGTTTATTTGCATGGTTATATATTAGATCCTCCTTGTCTAGTTATGGAATATGTTGAATTATGCTCTTTAAGCTATTTACTCCACTATTGTGAAGATACAGAAATCGAAGCAAGAATAACAGATGGAAGAATGAAAAAAAAGGCTCATGCTTGGAGCTGCCCTCGGAATGAATCAATTACATGCTGCCAATATTGTTCACGGAGATTTAAAACCTCAACATGTTTTAATATCAAGAGATTACACGGCCAAGGTAACAGATTTTGGACTTGCAACACTTCGAGTTAAAACTTCAAGTTCTGTTGCCTCTTCAGTTATTACTGATGATGGATCAGCAGTGTGTGAGACAGCAGGTTATATGGCTCCTGAATTATTAAATAGCTCGAATCCACCAGAATATTTCAGTGACGTGTATTCATTTGGTGTCATGCTCAATGAAGTTATTCAAGAAGAAGAATCATATACAGATTAATTTCGAAATTTCCTTGGACGATGACCATTTGCTGCTGTGAATTATGCTAAATTAGGTAACCGGCCAAGAATTAATTCAAGAACTCCAACATTCTTGAGGAACTTCATCGAAAGATATTGACATCGTGACCCTCGAAGTCGGCCAACATTCAAACAAATTTTCAACGAGCTCAAACCATCGCATGTTAACTTTTCGAACTCATTTGAATTATAGAGGCATGTTTTATGCATTTCTCATTAAATTATTTTTGAATATTATTTGTCAACCACTGAAAAACGTTTTTTAATAAAAAGAAATTTCACGCTATTGAATCTTTTTGATATGTCTTTAATGAAATTATAACTATATTGATGAAATTGAAAAATGCTAAAGAACTTGGTTGAATAAATATGAAGCAAAAATATCAATTCTCTACATCTGAAAAAATATGGCAAACTCAGGATGAATAGTCAGAAGATACAATATTTTAAGATCAGATGAAAATTTTACAGAAAAACCTAGTCTCAGATATTCTGTATCAGATCGTATTTTAAGATTCTTGAAAGATCTTGCAGTCTTATATGATATTACTATGTAATTATTGTAAATTTTATGTAGTAGTAAGATTGTTCAAGCATCTAATAGCATGAGGGTGTGAGTGCAGTCGACACACACACACACCCGAATAGCTTTTAATATGAACAAGACATATCTTGACTGTATAGGGCATACATGACTTTAGCATTCGAGTCAGCTGCACTCACTCAAAATGAATCTTAATGGCCAAATTTTCACGATAATCAATTCATGGCATCTAAACGAGCTATTGTGAAAATGAGAAACCCAATTCTGGGAAGAAACCGATTTCATCACTTAACGGTCGCTCGGTCTTTTATAGTCATTACAACAAATTTTAACTGTTAATCATGAA